GGCACATGCGCTCGGCCGGGGCTGTGGGCTACCCGCTGGCGAGGCTGCGGGCGCCCGGCCCTGCCGCGCGGCCCCGCGCCCGCATCTACCTGCTCAGCGCGACCTTCTGCAGCAGCGTGGCCTTCGGCAACCTGGGCCTCAACTACGTGCAGCTGGACGTGGCGCAGGTGGTCTACACCACCACGCCGCTCTTCACGCTGCTGCTGTCGGCACTGCTGCTGCGCCGCCGCCACCACCCGCTGCAGTACGCGGCCATGGCGCCCGTGTGCGCCGGCGCTGCCTGCAGCGTCCTCGGCCAGGTCCGCTTCCACCAGGCCGGCTGCTGCTTCCTCTTCGCCGCCACCTTCCTGCGGGGGCTCAAGTCCATCCAGCAGAGTAAGTGCCACGCAATGCCCGGGGACCTGGCGCTGCTGCCCAGGGTACCAGAGAGGGGGGCCCCAGTGCCACCTCCTGCCCTCCCCAGCCTTGGGGCCAGTCCAGTGGCATCCCAGCCCTGGCGCCACCACTGCCCATGTTGGCCTTGGTGCCAGTGCGGTGTCTTCCCAAGCCCAGAGCCGCTGTATGCCCATTCTGGTCACAGTGTCACCCCTGTCCCCTAGTCCCGAGGTCACCTCCTTGGCACCCCAGCTTGGTGTCAATACAATGTCACCCTAGCCCCAGTGCCACCACATTGGCCTTGATGCCAGCACAATGTCCTCCTGGTCCCAGTGTCATCCCATTCCCATCCCAGCCCCAGTGTCACCCACCTGCCCACCCTGGCCTTGGTGCCACCCCAGGGTCACCCAGCCCCGGTGCTGCCCCTTCCCACACCAGCGACCCCTCCTTGGGGCCAAACCCTGCTCCCGTCACCCTAGCCCCAGTGCCACCACATTGGCCTTGATGCCAGCACAATGTCCTCCTGGTCCCAGTGTCATCCCATTCCCATCCCAGCCCCAGTGTCACCCACCTGCCCACCCTGGCCTTGGTGCCACCCCAGGGTCACCCAGCCCCGGTGCTGCCCCTTCCCACACCAGCGACCCCTCCTTGGGGCCAAACCCTGCTCCCGGCCCAGTGCGGTGGGATGAGCAAACCGGCTGGTGGTGGCCCACGGGCACTGCCGGCTCCTCGCGTGCCCCGGGTGCCAGCACCGCCACGGGGCGGCCGGGGAGCAGGACAGACGCCCGGCCCTGCT